GCCATGCCCGGTGCCCCGGGGGGGGGATGGAGGAGGAGGAGGAGGGTGCTCCCAGCCGGGCAGTGCTCTGTGGCCCATTGGGGAGGGTGCTGGGAAAGCTGGGGACCAGGGGCTGATCCCTGAGCTCACTGAGGCTGTGTTTGTCTCTCCAGGTGTTGGCTGGGCAGCATCCGCAGGGGAAATGTCCGCAGGGAGAGGGCAGGACTGTTGACATTGCCTTCCTGAGCCTGGGTGTCACCACAGGGCTGTGGCTGATAGCCGCAATCAAGCGTGGCTGCTGTCAGGCTACAGAATTAAACACCCTGATCTACTGCCTGATCAGGACGATCTCTGAAGTCTTCCAGTGTTACGTTAACAGCCGTGGTGGTGAAGCTGCATCCAAACCTTGCTTGTAACAGGCTTTGCCAGCAGTTATGGTGCCTGGGCCCCAAGATCCTGCTTGTTGCAAGCCAGGAGAGTTCACGTTGCAGTTTCCCCTGGGGCGAAGGGAGAAGAACGGATTCTGCTGCAAGGATGGGAATGTGTGGATGCCCCTGGTTCCCCAGGATGGATGGGGATTCCCTCACCCAGAGGTGCCTGGGCATAGAGAAAAAACGACGCGCAGAAGAGTTGTGTGTGAGTGCAGGGCCACCCCTGTGGTCTGTCAGGAGGGGCCAGTGTCCCCAAGGCAGTGTCACCCCATGAGGACTGTGGCTGGCAAGCGTGGGGCTTCTTCCAGCAGTGTGGGAAGGGCACTCAGGGGGTGGTGTGTAGCAGCCGTGGTCTCTTTGGACAGCGCTGTCCTCACTGCGAGTGGCTTTTTCCTCCTCCAGGCAAGTCGTACGCACTCTATCCAGCGTGTGTTGTGCTGGCTGTGCTGGTGGCTCTGGTCCTGACTCTGGTGGTGGCTGTTGCTGTCCTCTCAGGTAAAGGAGGAGCAGCTGCCTCTGTCCCTGCCCCACGGAGCTGGGTCCCTGTGGAGCCCAATCCTCTCCCCTTCTCCCCTCACTTTTTCTCTTCTCCCTTTCCCTCTCCAGCAGGAAGAGGTGGAGGGGATGCAGCTGTGCCTGCGGCTGCGGTGCTGGGCTGTCCCGAGGACTGGGTCGGGTACCGCAATGTCTGCTACTACCTCTCGAAGGAGGAGGGGAGCTGGGAGTGGAGCCGGGAGCAGTGCTGGTCGCGCGGGGCCCGGCTGGCCGTGCTGAGGAGGGAGTGGGAAATGGTGAGTGAGGGGCTGCTGGGGGCGCAGGGGGGGTTCCTGGGTTGGGTGCGAAGCCCGGGGTGGGCGCTGGG